AAACCCCTCCTAAGAAACCCCAGGGAGAAAGGGAAAACCTGGATCGAGGGGCAGCAGCAGTGGTGAGGAATGAAGGGTTGAAAGGCAAACCCAGGGAGTACCAAGACCTGGTTGAAGTATTCAGCAAAAGGGGTTTAGACGAACTTCCCCCTCACCGGGCCATGGGCTGTGCCATTGAAATTGTCCCTGTAGCCAAGCTCTCCAAGCCCAAGATATATTCCATGACCCCTAGGGAATTAGAGGAACTGCAGCAGCAGCTAAGATGATTAAGGGTGTGGAGGCAAAACATATGAAGAACGATTGCAGAAATTGGGTATGGCCAGTCTAGAGAAAAGAAGGACTAGGGGGTGACATGATAGCAGTATTCCAATATTTGAGGTGCTGCCACAAAGGCACCAGAAGGCAAGACAAGAAACAACGGATGGAAACTAATCAACGAGACAAGCAACCTGGAATCAAGGAGAAGCTTCCTAACAGTGAGGACAATTAACTAGCCTGCTTTCAGAAGTTGTAGATGCTTCATCACTGGAGGTTTTAAATAAAAGATTGGACAGTCACCTGTCTGAAATGGTATAGTGTCTAGCAGGGGTTGGGCTAGAAGACCTCCAAGGTCCCGTCCAGCTCTATTCTGATTGACTGATTGATTGAATTCAAATGTATTAACACTTTTCAAATATTTAAAACAGGTAGTAACTCAGATTGTTTTCAAAGGAAGAGCTCTAACCATTACTAATCAAAAGCAGTATACAATTATGTCATCTTTGTCTCCTTAGCGTACCTTCTTTGGTAAGAAAATCAAGATGACGTAATCAAGGAGAAAGTAAAATGGTTCCACATGAAAGATGACTTGTAAAAATCCATCTAAAAACTGCACAAATAAAAGTCTTATCTGAAAGGACTTTCTATTCCATGCTGCCCTCACAAATTCAAAAGAACATTTACAGTAAACTTTTCAGTGAGGGCTATATTATAAAATAAGCTTATTTTTAATATTATTTTATAAAAACATAAAATATATTCATATATTGTATAACATAAAAAGTATATTTTCTGCATCCAATGTTCCTACAAGAATTTATCTTGTTTCTTTTGTTTTTGGTCAGGAATGAGCTGGGTTAAATATTGGGATTTTAAAAACTGGGGAAAATAAAATTGGCTTAATTGTTGAAAGAGCTTTGTTAACTTCTTCCCTGCAGATTTCTTGTACCAAGGCTGGTTACTTCCTGAATGAATACAGGCTGCTTTTTATATATGAAACCTAAGACTTCTTGGCACAACTCCAGATATTAAATAAAAAAGCTACACGCCACTGCTAACCTGCTTCCCTAAACAGAGTCACAGTATTTGAACTACTAAAGCAGGATTTTCATTTCCCAACCTTTCAACGATCTCTGATGCGGTCTTTTTAAGCACATGCCCACCCCAAGCATAAAATAAGAAATAAGCTGAAAAATATGACAATATTCCACACTAATTAGCTAACCAAACAACAATACCTCACTGCCTTTCCAGCTTTCCTTGAAGACCATAAGATCTGTGAATCTTTTCCTCTTTGTCCTAGTGTCATGTTCTGCATTAGTCTATAACTCAATTCATTAGTTTAAAAGATTAAAGAGAAGTATCTTAACTCTCTGTTTGATTATCAGCGACTGGCAACCAAATGTCATTCTATGGGAAAAATATTTCAAAATTAGAGAATGATGACAACAGAAGACCTTACATGTATATTTCCCCAAAAGAAACCTCTGCAGTGGGATATTCCCAAAAGAGGAACAGTCTGACAGTACATAATAATCATGCAGATATATAATGATATGGTTACCCCCTCATTTCTATTTTAAAAGTAAATGCCAATATCATGAATTGAGTCTGGAATACAGCTAACCTACCTTCCTTCCTTCCTTCCTTCCTTCCTTCCTTCCTTCCTTCCTTCCTTCCTTCCTTCCTTCCTTCCTTCCTTCCTTCCTTCTCCCTCCCTCCCTCTATCCATTACACTTCTACATTGCCCATCTCACCTACATGACCTGGGGTTGTTTACAATAAAATTTACAGATCTTTTAATATTGGAGACATAAAATCACAGTCCTGTTTGGGCAACCATATTTTGCAGCATTTGTAATTACTGAATAATCCTTCAAAATAACCCTATATAACCAAGGTATGAACAATAGTTAACAGATCAGATTTGATTCATAAATGTGTACTACCAGTATACAACACACACTTATTTCTGTCCTACTTTCTGTCAATAAAAATGCCTTTCTACATCAATGTTTTAACAATATTTGTATAAAAATAATATAAAAATAAATATGAAATAAATAAAATATAAAAAAGTAAAAATAAATTCAATAAAAGCATACCGGAAATAAACAAAAGAAGAAAAAGGTATCAAATGATCCACCAGAGTAAATCAAATTTTAAAGCAAAAACTGGCATGAATAATAATAAAAAGCTTGCTAATGGAAGGAGAATAAAAACAGAACCAAATTGACCTTGCATGCCATATATTAGGATTAATTGAGAATAAAATTCCTTTTAGACCTTGGCTTTGTAAAGAATTCAAATTAATCAGCAGCACACACTAAAGCAAGCTGAAACCTACATGTGACATTTAGCTTTATCTTTTGTATATAAAAGAGAATAAAAAATTGTAATTAGATTTACTATTTTAAAATAAATACTATAGATGGTTTAAACTTTAATGGATTACCAGAAAAAAATCCTGGAAGCTACTGAAAAAAAAAATATAGGTTGATATCCATTTCTATCTTTAAAGTCTATACCTAAGGTACTAATTTTTCCTCCCAGAATTTCATGATATTTTACTCCATCTCAGACATTTAAGCAAATTTCTTACAAAGTGAATGTGATTTTACTTTAATGTTTGCTGTCCTTATCAGATTATCTCTCTAATGCTAGACAAAACAGGACTTGCATCATTTAAAAGAATACCAAATACCAGCTCAGTTTTCCAGACCTTATCGCCTTCTTCATTACTTACAACATTAACATCTAGTTTGCAGAATACCAGCTCATAAATGACAGCAATACTGGTGTTTATTTCATGTGCTACTACCTTTTTAATATTTTCCACTTTCATTTTGATGATTGGTATCACAGAATTTGTAGATTTATTCTAAATACATCTTGAGCTTTGTACGGTTTGTATATAAAGACAGTTGAAAGTATTTACCACTTTAGTAGGATTCTAATAGCCTTGCAGTGTATTCTTCCTGAACATTATTTTAGTTAGTGGGTAAGCATTTACAGCATGGTAAAAAATACAAAAGAGCAAGCCAATTTGATGTAGTAGTTAAAGATACCAGGATTAAAAATCAGGAGATTGATATTATTATTCCTGTCTTACTCATGAAACCAACTGGGTAAGATCTATCATTCCTCTCAGTCTTGGGAAGAAGACAGTGGCAAGCCACTTCTGAATTATTGTCCCAAACCTACACTGAGTTTTCATGTAATTGCCAAGGGTCAGGACTCGACTCAAAAGTCCACACACATGCAGCCACATGCAAATGTAGCAGCAAAATATAATCACATCCAAAAGCAACCTTACTCTAAAAATCAGTTAGTATATCAACCTCTCCTGTGCATTTGCCCTTGATCACATATTACCTGTAGAAGAGATGATAATATAAAATGTACAAAGATGTGCAGGTATTGGTCTTATAAAAGATGAGGATGCAAAAAGCAGGATTCTTGCTTGGATGATTCTTAAAATACATATAATAAATGTGTGTACAGCTCTAAAAAAAGGAACAGAGTGAACGATATGTGGTGGAATCTGGCCAACAACAGCACAGGTGTCAATGAATTGAAATGTTATAGTTTTTTAAAAGTTCTCAGACATTTCAAAGTATATTTAAGTGATATTCCATTTATGAGTACCATATCAATTGACATGGCACTAACTATACATTGAAAATGGTTTCCAGCTGGCAATCAATGAACAACTTCCTTGTTTAGTTCAACTCATGGGGCAGATTCCAACATCCCTAAGAATGCCTGCATATGGGATACCTTTATCCAATCCATTTCAAGAAAACAGATTTACTTCACCCAGAAAGATTTCCCAGAAAAGAAGCCTTGAAGCTTCCTCCTCTCATTTCTCTCTCTCTCTCTCTCTCTCTTGCCGTTGTTCAATAGCTATAGTAAGACACCAGTTGGCAATTATTCCTCTGTCCATCAGTGTAGAGAGAAGGAAAGGGAAGTGAAGAAGATAGTTTCAGCAGTGATGATAATAAATGAGAAAGCTGGCCCTGCTCTTATAAAATTATTATATCCTTTCAGGTTCCTTTCACTTGTGTAACTATGTTGGTTCATTATGGGAAAATATTCATTGTTTTGGTTAAATTATTAGCAATTCCCTTTCCTTCTCTGTCTTGTTTATATTTAATTCCATGTCTTTTGGGAAGGATTTCTTTCAATTGTCTGTCAGCTCTACAGTGATGTAATTTTTTCCCCACTGTAATCAGAAGAAATTGCATTAATAAGTTGAAACAAGCCAGGACATATGGATAACTCCAGACATTAGACTGCATTTTAATTGCTCAATGTAACAATAACATACTACATATTCATATTAAGTTGTCCTTTTATAATGAGTAAGATAGGGCATAGTACAAAAAAAATATTTCAATTGATTTAAATGATTAAATTAATAAACCCTCAAACTAGATTACGTGCTTTAAATCTGAGGGATTTAAGCATACTCAACAATATATCTCCATTTACAGATACTGCAAAATGTTATAGATTATATCCTCCATTTCCATTTTCAAAGAATTCATTAGAAATGAAATCTTCATATGGAATTATATTTTTATTTTCTACAAATTTGCCTTTGTTAAATTGGTTGACTATGTTCATGTCCTCACAATTAGGTTGCATTTTTTTAATAATCAGGAAGGAAAAGAATGTGCTGGTGTGCTTTTGTCATGCAGTAAAATACAACTATTATTGAAAGTTTAATTTAGGCCTACCTTGTCTTCGACTCTGTTCAGCCGGGCACCAACTGTATTATTCCCTCGATCTTTATTTTTTTCTGCATAGAAAGGACACTTCTAGATGAATATCAAGTGTTACAATAGTATAGAATGAAGCCATGCAATTGTATTTAACTAGTCTAGCAGAGCTATTTAATAGAATCCTGCTGACAGATGGGTAATTTTATTACATTAACAGCAGTTTTTTTAAATTCATTTATTAGCATCAATTCAAGCCTTGCTTTGAATGGACTCAACTTCAGACTGCACCTTGAGTTCATGTGATGCTTTAAATCAGAAGAATTAGTGCATTTAATTTAATAAATTTAAATTAAATTTAACATTAGTTTACCTGAAAAGTACAATAGAGCATGAGTGAGAGTCCATGTGGTGTAATGGTTAAGGTGTTGGAATAGTCCAGGGGTAGGCAACCTTGGTTCTTTTATGACTCGTGGACTTCAACTCCCAGAATTCCTGAGCCAGCATGGCTCAGCTTGGAAACTCTCCCTTTCCCCTCAGCATGGCTGGCTTAGGAATTCTGGGAGTTGAAGTCCACGAGTCATAAAAGAGCCAAGGTTGCCTATCCCTGGACTAGGAGCAGAGAGGCCCTTATGTGCCTAAGAAAGACCAATCCTCTCTTAGGCACATAAGTTACTGTTGAGTAATTCTGAGCCACTCACATTCTCTCAGCCCTAGACTGGGAAGCTGAAAAACATCGCAGAATGTAGCAATGGCAAACCACTTCTATCTGTCAAGATTGATTCAAAAACACCAAAACAAAATACAGAACAATAAAAGTAAGAAGAATGCTGGTGTGCTTATGATGATGATCATCATCATCCATAAAATATTAATATGTATTCATGGAAAAACCAAAGAGATCATTGTCAATTTCAGAAAAGGCAGGCATAGCCACACTTCTATGTGCATTAATGATTCACCTGTGGAGATGGTTACCAGCATCAAATTCCTGGGTGTGCAGCTAATGAGTAGGCTGGCTTGGTCGCTCAACAGTGAGAAACTAGTGAAGCAGGCACAGCAGTGCCTGCATTTCTGCGTCGCATGAAATAACTCACGGTCGCATGAGTAACTCATGGTTACTTGCATGAGTAACTCACATCGCATGAGTAACTCATGGTTACTCATGCCCTTGTCACCTCAAGACTGGACTACTGTAATGCGCTCTACATGGGGCTACCCTTTAAGAGCGTTCGGAGGCTGCAGTTGGCTCAGAGAGTGATTGTGGGTGCACCAAGGTACACCCACGTGTCACCTATCCTCCGCGAGCTGCACTGGCTTCCTGTGGGTCTCCGGATGCAATTCAAGGTGTTGGTTATCATCTTTAAAGCCCTTCATGGCTTAGGACCAGGTTACTTACAGGACCGCATACTGCCGCATAGTTCCCAGAGACCGGGGAGGTCCCACAGATTGGGCCTCCTTCAGGTCCCGTCGGCCAGACAATGTCGGCTGGCGGGCCCTTGGGGAAGGGCCTTTTCTGTGGTGGCTCCGACGTGGGTGGAATCAACTTCCCCCCGAGATTCAAACTACTCCTACCTTGCCGGCCTTCAAGAAAGCTATTAAAACTCTCCTGTTCTGGCAGGCCTGGGGTTAATGTCCCCGGGGGGCCCGGGATCCGATTGGGATATGCTGTGTGAATGTATTCAATTTTAATTGTTATACTTGTTGTTTTAATTTTGAACGCCGCCCTGAGTCCCTAGGGATTGGGCGGCATATAAATTTTACTAATAAATAATAAATAAATAAATAAGCACATCTTCCTTCTCCTGTCCTTACCACTTTCTACAGGGGGATGATCTAGAGCATCCTGTCATACAGCATCACAGTCTGGTTTGGAAGCAATACTGCTTCAGACAGGAAGGCGGTGCAGAGAATGGTGAGAATGGCCAAAAAGATCATTGGCAGTTCCCTCCCTCCCATCCAGGACATAGCACAGAAGCTTTGCTTAAGGAGGGTCCGCAAGATTGTCTGGGACACTACACATCCTCTTCACAACCTGTTTCCCTTGTTACCTTCTGGGAGGAGGCTTCGTGATATCCATAGCAGAACACCCAGATTCAGCCATAGTTTCATTCTATACAGCATTAACCTTGTGAACTCTCAAGCTTCCTCCTTCCATTATATTTTCAAGATGAACAGTGTTTAATATTTATTTGTTATGTATATGTAGGGGTGTGGGTCTATACATATGTTGTATATAGTATGTTAGGTGCGTGTCAGGTATGTGTTCACTTTTGAGAGCAGCCAACTAAATTTCATTTTTGATGTGTGCCGTTGTGCCCACAGTAAAAAAAATGACAATAAAGATTATTTTATCTTATCTTATTTCCCACAAAAGAAATATAGTGATACTATGGTTTCACTATAAATTATGAAAACTATAATGATGAGCACAACTAATTCAATTGCTATATCCAATAGGGATCCAGGTAGCACCCAAAATTTTGGATGCATTCCTCAGACTTGCCAAAATAGTGCTACTGTACTATAACTTTTACAATGTTAATTGTAACTTTTAATGTGGCAGAAGCCAAACATTTTTAAAAGCATGAGAATAATTGTATTAGCTATTTTAATTAATTTGTTTTAAATTAAATTCATTCAGTGCTTTTGATTCTGTTCTGATTTTTTTTGTCATGGGTTTGTCCACTAGTTGGATAAATTGCTATTTCTATGAGGATTTTTTATTTTAGGAAAAGTAATGTATTTAAGATATATTCTGTGTTTTTCTAGGATGGTAACTTACCTGAGACAGAAATAAATAATGATGGCTTCCCTATAGATTGGTCCAATCTAGAGAGAAAGAAAAAAAATGTATAAAATAAGAAGCCAAAAGTTTTCCCCCAGGTGAAACATGGACAGTTGAAAACAAGTGTGTTTGTTTTGTGTGTTCCTACCAATAATGAAAGGTTTTACATAGTTATTGATTTATGTGCAAAATGAACTTTTTATTGTGATATTTAGAGATATGGTATGGGAGCTAAAATGCCTCCATGAAGAAGTTACTCATTCACTAAAGATTTAGTGTTGTCTATTAACACTTCCTGATGTTAACATTTCCATAGAGATATGGAGATGTTGGGCTCATGAGTTCAAAATAGTTTTTGGCTGCAATAAAGCAATTATAAAATAATGTTCTTTTTATGTAATTTGTGGAATTTTTTTAAACTATGCTCTAAAGACACTAGTTGATAAAATAAATGAGATTCTTAAATACATGGGAGATGAAAGATAAAGTTTCTTATTTGTGAAGATCTTACAATCAAGTTGAAGAAATAAAAGGAAAGGCAGAAGAAAAGTGGGATAATTTGGGTTCATGCATCATTCTAAGTCAGGGGGTCTCCAAACTTGGCAACTTTAGGACTTTTGGATTTTCACTCCCAGAATTCCCTAGCCAGCCATGGTTTGGATTAATATGTCCTGTCAATCCAGCCATTATGGTTTGTAAACATAATTTATGACTTAGCATATTGTAAGAATCCAGCCAACAGTAAATTATTCAGTAAAGCCTAGTTATAACACACCAGGGCTTCGAGCAATCCGTTAACCTTCTCAATATGAAAATACTGTCATGCCACATTTTCCAACCTGGCTTCTATTGCCCACTGCATTCTTAATTCCTTTTCCTCAGGGGGTGATCAGATCAGATACATTAACACTTGAAGTTCCATGCAGGTAAAGAAGTATTTTAGGACTGTGTGTAGGGTCATGGGGCACTCTATAATCCTGCATTTTTGTAAGATACAGTGGCAGAAATTGTTTCCACAATTAAAAATTGATGGCATTTAATGTGGAGCAGTAAGGATACCATACCGGGCTTGTTCAGAATATACATTTTTTTTAAAAAAAATCATTAAGTTTAGAAGATGAATTCTCAACCATACCTTCTTTGAAGCTCTTTTATTCGGACCATCAAGTTGAGATGACCCTGAGAATATTGTTCTATCACATCGCGTACATCATAAGGCTTCCTAGCTTGCTGTGAAAATAGAAAATAATAACCATAGTAGTATTTCAAATCCCAGTATAGCATGCCACACTTATGTGGCTGTTAGTTGAAATAAGGAAAAATAGAAAGCTAACCTTTTCATTTCCACAGCTTTTTCATGTAATTTTACATAGTACAGATAAGGACTAATGGGTGTAATTCAGGTTCTTTGTTAAAATGTTTATTCCTTGTGTTTAAGTGATATATTTAGATGGCTGTACATGCAGAAAGCCCTTTTCATAAGTTAAGGAACTAAATTGTTAAATATTTTGTCCTAATGTATTTAGAGCATTGAAAGGTAAAAAATTAGGCCTAGAAACAAACGGGAAGTCAGTGAAGTTGGTTTTAAAAAAAACCATCTTTTTTCTTATTGGTTATAAAGTTGTGAGAGTGATGATATTTTACTTAGTGGTCTCATTATCTCTGATATATTACATATTCTCCACTTATCATCTCACCCCATAAAAGGCACCATATTGATAACAACCTGTTGCAAGTCTCTCTCTCTCTCTCTCTCTCTCTCTCTCTCTCTCTCTCTGTGTGTGTGTGTGTGTGTGTGTGTGTGAGAGAGGGGCAAAGCTCTGTTGACTTATTTTCATGTAGTCTATAGTGTTCCATTAACCTGCACATCTATTATAACATGGTAAAGCAGAGATTTTCATAATTTGAACAATCCATATAAATTCAACTGGGCAGTATTCAAATATTTGGAATAAATCCACCACTGCATGTGATATACAGTATTGTTGTTCAATACACTTTAAACTCTTTCATAATTTTATAAATGTTAAGGAAAATTTCTTCATCTACTTTTAAAATGAAGTGCTTCATATAACAGACAAAAATTAGGGATTTTAGGAAATTATATTAATCTATATAAAACCTCTTTTAAAATTACTGAATGTTAAAGTGGCCTCACGGTTTCTTATGCTAGAAGGCAGCAGAATGCATGCATCTGGGAAAATAGAAGTCACTCTGCTCCAAACTGAATAACAAATTGCACAACAGAATTTAATAGCTAAAGCTATACTAAATTAGACTGGACCCCAAAGAGTGATCTCTATTAGGTAAAATAGTGTCCTGCTTTTCTCCTCCTACAATGGCATGTGGATATAGACACCCAAGCAACAAACTACTAGAAAAGGAATAATCTGAGCAGACCAACTTGCAGATCAATGAATATCCAATTTAAGCCTGAACCACAGATATTCATATTTTATTATTTTCCATGTAGCTTATTAGCAAGTTTTATTTTCCTTTTTAAGTTCTCTGCTGTAAGGATTTGTTATTCATTTTTATAATGTGCATGTTTTTGTATAAAAGAATGGCAGATGATTTTGGGGAACCAATGTAGTGGAATTCCTAGGTGGAGGATCTTTACTACTTTGAAATAAAACATCAAAACAAATTGTGACTAGTTTCTTTTAGATCTCTGTTCAGATCGGATTTCCCTGTTTCTTCTGCTCTCAGAAAAAAGTTTGAAAGATAAATATAATCATACAATTATCATACAACCATTTTAATTAAGATCATCAGGAGTTAAGTTCTAGTTACTTTAAAAAGGCAATCTGTATACTAACAAACCAAGTGCAGTTGGAGATTGGAAGCATTATCTGGCCAAACTTCTGCTTGTTTTGGGAATAAAGCTAATGAATTCTCTCATTATCCAATCAACAGTGCTTCACATGAAATTTAATCAATGTGGCCAACTTTACAGAGTCAAAACAATCTTGTAGTTCTAAGTGGGGGTGCAATGGCTCAGTGATTAAAAATGTGGAGCTTGTGAGCTGGCAGCCCGGGTCCAAGACCTAAACACCACATGATGGGGTGAGCTCCTGTGATTTACCCCAGCTCCTGCCCACCTAGCAGTTTGAAAGCATGCAAAAGCGAGTAGATAAATAGGTATCACTTCAATGGGAAGATAACAGGGATCCATGCACCTCAGTGTATAATCAGTGTTTACTTAAGCATTTTACTTAGTTGGGCTTATACTTAGACTAACAAAACAGGCCAACAATGATATTCAATAAGGTATACTTTTCTGTATAACATGAGGAAAACTCTTGTGGAAAGCACGCTAGAGAATGGCACACTCTGTTGTTCTCTATCCTTTCATGCTGAGGCATGCTATTCTTCTACCAAGTTTCCCTCAGAGTCAAAATGGAAAAGCAGAAAGGGAAGTACCAGCTGCAGGAAGTTCTGAGTAGTATAACCAAACAATGGTCAAGTCCAAGCATGTGTAACATTCTTTGAAGTACAAAGAACTTTGAACTATTTTGTTTGCCAGAAAGCCCTCTGAAGTGATTACAGAAAATTGCATACATAGTTCTTGATTGATAGCAAGGTAACTGAATTACGTGTAAAGCACTACCTAGTTTGTGGTAACACTTTGAAATCTAAAGCTATAAATAGATCAAGAGCGTTTGGTGACATCACTGAAAGCCACATCAGACACTGTTATTACTGGGCCCCTAAACTTGTACAGTAGCTTTTATTATTTATTTTAATAACTGTTCTAGTGGTCGTGTCCTGCTTGTAGATATCCCAGAGATATCCGGTTTATTACTTCAGAAAGCAGGATGCTGCATTCGATGGATTTTTGATTTGATGGGATAGGTTTCTTCTTATCTTCTTAAATAAATATTTATTAAAGAAGTGACTAAGCATACTATAAAAATATTAGACTGTAAATATACTATGAGCGTTTTCCATAACCTGTTGCCTTCAAGAAATATTAAATTAAAGCAAGATGTTCTGAAATTACTGTCTAATATATCTGAAATGTCGCTCTCTATATTGGAGAAGCTGCTCTATAAAATGGAAATTCCAGAACATTTCCACAGATTTTGGAGTTCTGTGCTCCCTGATTCTTGATGTTCCTCTCTTTCAAACATTTGGCAAATCTGTTTTAATAAATGAAAGGGAACATATCAGTGTTAAAATATCAATGTGGTTTGCTTATGAAATGACTGTATGACTTGTTTAATTGTCTTTGCAAAGAATGTATGCATGGCTGATGATTGGAAGAATGCCATTATTACTCCATTACAAAAACAGAATGTTAACAAGAGTGAATGCAAAACTACAGAAGGATTAATTTATCAAGTGCATGGCTGAATTCTGATCAAAAGCATGTAAGACATGACTGTGAAAAAACATTTTGGCAAATATAGCACAGCTTTATTCAAAGCAGGAAGTGTGCTGAGCAGATATTTGAACTTTAGCAAGGCCTTTGCCTTCTTATGTGATTGTGACGAAGTTTAATGTATGCTTGTTGATTTATAGAAAGCATATGATAAGAGATTTCAAATATGAAATATTTTGCACGAACACAGACCTGAAGTATGTTTGTGAATGAGATAACAATGCTATATGAGAGAACTAAAACATATGTGACAACAAATGGAATGCTTAGGGAATAGTCAGTTTGAAACAATGACCGAGAAAAGGTTGAGTGATATCCATGATCGCCTTACTGCATTTATATAGAGAAGTATAAGGAAAGCTTGTTATAAGGTATGATAGTTGGGGATATGGAGACAAGTGGACCTTTTATGCAGACAGTGTTGTATTGCTTGTTAAGCTGAAAGATTTCTAAATAAACTGATACAACAAGGAGTAGGGAATGAAACATTAATGAATCAATGAATAAGGAAACTGTTTTGATAGGGAATTGAGTGAAGGCTTGCAAGCTATATATAAATAGCAACAAACTGAAGCAAACAGATATTTTGTAATTTGATAGAATTTTTACTAAACATAGGGAAACAGAGAAATTATAAGATGTACAAGTACTAATAAAGAGATAGAAAGCAGTATGTGGTCTGTTAATTTTTAATTAGAGTGGAAAAAACAGGACAGATGCTCAAATGGAGAAAAAGCAGATTAAAAATGGACTGAGCACAGAAGTGAATGACCAGTGCAAAAGAAATACATTTGGTCATATGAAGAGAATCAAGGAGGACTGAATTGGAAAACAAATATGAAGGTTTCAGAGGAAAGAGAAAGAAAGGTATGGTTGGGCAGAATTCATGAGTTTGTCAACAAGAGAAAGATGAGAAATTCAAAGAACAAGAGACGATGTATTAATTAATTAAGACTTAGTGGATATCTAAGCATGGAACAGTATAATAAATAGTGTTGGTATAAACTAGTTTTAGTTAAATTTCTTTCCCCTTACCTCCTGCCTTTTATTATTTTGTTATTACTTTATATTAATTTGAGTGCTTAGCATAACGTTGCTTATCCCCAAAAGAAATAACACAATAGATAGATATTTATAGGATGATTCTTTGAAACTCTACAGCTCCTTGAACACTTAAGTCACTATTTCTGATTACAGATAGGCCTCATTTTGTGGATCAGATAGAAAACAATTTTCTGTTACTCACTAGAGAAGAGATATTTTAGTAATTTTTTATTAATTCCAAATTCCATTTCTTAATTGTACTGATTGCATAGCTTTGCATGATTAATGACTATGACTGCAAATAGCTCAGCTGAATTTTAATTGGAAAGATGGAAAAAGATGTGAAAAAACCTTCCAGCATAAATTCTATTTTGCTCAATTAAATCAATAAAAAGAATATATGTTTGGCATTTGTGTAAGAAAGAACTTGATGATATTGACCTTGTAGTAGAACCAGTGGTATGGCTCTTCTTCTCAACTCTTCCTCTGATGAAGCCAGATAGAAGGAAATAAATTACTTTACTGGTCCTGATCATACCAGCTTCATTTCCTCCCCCAGTAAACTGAAGCATGCTCTAAGGCTGCAATTGTAGAGAGATGAATGGCTATACAAATTGCTCTGTTGAGTTTTCTTCTCTGTATGCTGTTTCCAATCAATGATGATATTATTATTAGCCAGTTTTATCAATTTACCATTATCTAGATTAAAAACTGCTTTGTAATTTAAAAAACAAAGCCTATAAGTTCCCTGTTGTTGGAAGATGAACACAGCTGAAGTTTCTGTAAATGATCAAATGTGATCTTTGGGGATGTGTGTGGCTTCAGGTACAACCTTATCATAATCACAATAATAAAATGGGGTGCCTATTTCTGCTTAATTATTAAGAAGCATACATCTTTTTATAAGTATTTATAAGATCTTCATCAGATTAAGACCTCCTACACTTTTTGTTGAAAGCTTTCTCTAGTCACAATTTGTGGGTGCTCTGAGTCCCTAGGAGCACAAGAAAATAATCAAATACAGAATTATACTTCATATGAACATATAGTATTCTTTAAAAAGAGCAGTTTGGTTGGAAATATGTGTTTAAAAGCTTGTAGAAAATGCTCGCTGAATTTTAGAAGGTAGAGAAAAAACCTGAGTAAGATTTCTATTACTTCTCAGTGCAATTGTCTCTTTCTAGATTGGCAAAGGGAGGGGGGTGTTAGGGGAAAATAAAATATGCAATAGTAATTATGTAATACTAACATCTGTACCATAAACACCTGCTTTCTTAAACTAGTATTTCAATTCAACCATTATTATTTTTTCACTCGCTGAATCATGCTAGAATAATAAGCTCACTTACTCATTCTTTGCTTGTTTGCTTGCAATAGACATGGTTTTGTCTATGCTATTTAATTCCAAGGTAAACAACATTAGAAAAATTCAGGACAATATGCCTATAATCCTAAGAAATGTTAATTTTAGTTCTAGGCTTTGTATCAGGATATCAGCTAATATGAGATAGAAACAAGGTTAAGGTAGAGTTCTAATCTCTAGGTCCATTAAATCAGCAGGACACAGCTCAGAATTAATGAAGACATATGAGAATGTTTGCATTGGAAGGAGACAGAGATAACAAAAGGGGAAAGGTCAAGTCCATTAGTAGAAAATAACATTTTAATTCAGGCTGCATTTCAGAAATTTAGCCTGTTCCCATTGCATCCACAGTTGAGTAACTTGCTGATAAACAGTCACCCTATTGAAGAACAGAGAGAAGAGTAAGAATAGCTCTCTGATATTAAAATGGATTTCCCTGGCTTTTCCTTGTTTAAGACTTAAAAGAAGCAAGAACTAAAAAAAAAAGGAGAAAAAAGGAGATTCTTTTTAAAAAAAGTACTTTTTCAACAACTCACCTGAAATTTCTTCTTTGCCACAAAATACTGCATACGGCGTATCACTTTAATGGCAGAACGGTGATGTTCTTTCAAACTGTAAAGAAAAGAAGAAGAAGGGTCATGAAGGCAAAGCTAAACAATCTACAAATTTATGCTACAACCGAATATCTTTCATGAAAAGTCATGAAAAAAGTACAACATCCTGGCCCAATTGATCTTCCCTACTCTTTTTCAAGTCGCCATCGGTTATGCTGAAAGGGCAGGGATTTTGGATGACTGTTGGTTGAGGCTAAAGCTAATATTCTTTCCATGATGCATTAGCCAAATATCTGAAAGCTCTAAAGAGAAAAGGCACATTGATTTCACTAGAATCAGAATACTCCACAAAACTAAGAATATAAAACCAGCTATATCAAGAAATAACATATCAGCACAGTACCAGATAGACAAAAAGTATACTTTGAGAATATGCCATTACCACTAATCCCAATTGGATTACTAGAACAATTAATTTAAAATATTGGTTTAATAGGGATGCCTCCATTTTGTGCCACATGCCAACCTGCTCCAGCCCTCAAGTGAATTATTGTTTGGCACCAAGTATGGAATCATATTATTAAAAAAACCCTCCCTATCATACCTACTCTAACAAAAGGGAACTGTCTTTGCACGGTCTTCTAATATGCATTTGGCTGGATGTGTGTGAAGCAAGACTATTCTATTCATTCAAAGTAATAATCTTTGCTTCACTAAAGTCAATTTAATATTGATGAAAGACGAGAGAGAGGCACCTACCTATTAAAGAGACCAAGTCACAGTAGCAACCCTGTGCAAATGTTCTCGGTTCTGTTACTGAGTAAGGACAGTTTCGTAACATTCAAATGAGTTGAAGGAATACCTGATTCAATGTTACTTTGACCAACCCTTCTCTTTCTTCTCTACTGGCTGAGCTTTAAATACTGCTCCAGAAGCCTCCATCGACTTTGTCCATTACAAATGCTTTTTTCCATATCTGTTCATTTATCATACTTCCTAGTCCCCACATGTCCGCCATTGAATCCACCAAACTCTAAGTAGTCTAGTCTTTTCATTATTGGGACTATTTGGTTTTCTATTAATGAAGGAACTCCACCTAAACAAGGCTCAACTCGATTAAAGTGAGCGTCCAAATAATTTATTTCAAGTGTTTTCTCAGTCCATGTGGATTTTAATGCAAGCACAAGCATAACAACTGCAGAGAAGATACCCTAGTTCAGGCATGTCAAACTCGCGACATCATTTGACATTGCGCAACATATCGGGCCAATTTTGCCATTGCCGGCAATGGGGTGTGCGCGGCTTCCATGTGACGCGTCAGGCCCGCAGGCTGGCAGTTTGACACCCCTGCCCTAGTTGCTTAGAGACCCACGTAAATGTTTAACTCTCTGGATGCAAAAATTAGCATTTCTTCAACTAAAACAAACAGCATGCACACAAGCTGTTTGCTTATGTATCTGAATAATGAGCCCCAGACAAAATCAGTTTAATGCTTAGAAACAATGGAAGTATACTTTAGAAAAGTATCATGTGTATTTATTATTTTAATATTTCCCATACATACATTTGTATATGTATACCTGTATGTATGCATATCTCTGTGTGTATGTATATATGTGTGTGTATATATGCATATATATAATACATATATACATAAATAATTCATTACATCAAACAGGTTTTGGAAAATTCTTACAAAGCTACAATAAAGTAATAAATTTCATATACTTTATATTCCTATTGCATAAAATAAATTTGTCACACCAAAATTAAAGGCAGGACATTCCAAATATGTATACTTTGCTTAAAGTTTGAATTCCTTATTTTGAATGATCTTAATTATTGTCTGGATGGAATGTGTTAATTTTGTAGATCATCTTCTCTACATTTATACGTTTATTAAATATTTTTGAATTAATTTGCTTTCTTTTCCTGTTGTGCTTATATATAGGTCTGCATTTATGCATGTAAGTATATATATTGTCATTCGGAAACAAATATAGGGATTTTTCTAAGAGGCAATATTTCAGAAAGTTATTTAATATTCACCCAAAGAACATAATTTTCAGCAAGAAATTATTGAATTTGTTTAGTTACTTTTGACTTAGAGAAATATTCTAAAGCTGAATACTGTAATCATCAATAAATACTTTCCACAATTGTTTGCTAGTTAGATCCACTTAAAGATAAAATGTTACTTTAACCATGCCACTTCAGTAAAGGAATGAATAAACCTAATTATATTTACTAAATAAAGTAATGCTATACTATTCTTAATTGCTGAAACACTTTTTTTTAAAAAACCCACAATTTTAAAAACTCAATATATGAAGAAGAAAAACAAATTAAACTTATGCAGAAAACCCCAACTTTAAACACATGTATTCAATATCTTACCCAGAAAGAGATTTGTATAAATAAAAATAATCCATAGAAAAAACTTTGAAATACTGATCTGACTTGAATAAAAGCACCTTAATTGTAGGAGTCTTTGAAATGTTTTACGGCGCTGTTAACTTTCAGTCCATGCAAAGTTTAAATTTTTTTAAACACCTCAGTTCAAACTATACTAGTTTATTTCAAACTAAATATTCTTTAGTTTGTGTTAAGAAATCCAACAACAGAAATTGAAGTAGTTTTGAATGTTGCAACAATTCATAAATGTGAGAAAAAATATATAGTAAATCAATTATAGGATTAATTACTGAAGGCCACTGATGTCTTGACTTGTTCATAAATTTAAGGCTAAAATGAGCTTATAAGGCATTATCATAGAAATAATTTCAGTCTAATTTTAGCAAAATTTCCACAAGATTAAATATAAATTTTGTCTCCTTACCTCAGATTATTTAATACAGGTAGTCCTTGACTTACGACCACAAGTGAACCTAAATTTCTGTTGCTAAACAAGGCAGTCATTAAGTGAGTTTTGCCCCATTTTATGACCTTTTTTGCCATATTTGTTAAGTGAATCGCTGCAGTTGTTAAGCTAATAACACAGTTATTAAATGAATGTGGTTTCCCCACTGACTTTGCTTATCAGAAGGTCACATGCAACTGTCATAAATATGAGTCAGCTGCCAAGTGTATGAAGTTTGTTCGTGTGACCATGGGGATGCCTCAGTGGTCGTAAATGTGAAAAAAAGTCATCATTCACTTGTTTCAGTGATGTTGTAACTTTGAATGGTCACTAAACGAACTGTTGTAGGTCGAGGACTACCTGTAAGGGAGGAGTGAACCAACAGAATCTTTAGTTTAAAAGGCACATTTGTGACAGCCTTGAGCTATTTTATTAGTGGAAGAGCTATACAGCAGATTATTTTCTTGAGTCAAGTAGACTTATACAAACATAAAATAGAAGGTTAAAAGTGGCTTTGTTTCTCCTTTTAAAAATGGCACATATATATTTATGTCTATATGGATTTATTTCTCATCCTTGAGCGAATGGAGTTGATCTGTGCCACCTGGATTCTTTACGCAAGGCAACTGCAGATTTGAAAAAAGTAAGATGTAATGCCTAGAAGATAAACTAATAAATGAAATATAGAAGGGAAGGGGGAAATGATTAGAAGGGTGAAGAAGTTCTGTTTACTGACTCCTTGCTAATTTTTGCCTATAAACATAAACAAAATTAAAGCAACTTTTCTCAATACAATACTAATTAATATTTTTAAAAAATTAAACAGAATCCAAGTAAATAAATGCATGCTTGGATAATGTTTAAAACAACAACTTTCTTGAGGATACAAGTACAGAATTGTTGAAAAGCAGACTATTTTAAAATAGTTCGAGCATACTCTGCTATTCAGCCTATTCTTTCACCAAGTTTTATTTAAGCAGTTTATCTTATTGAGATTAGGATCTCTTTTATAAAGAAATACCTGGTAAAAGCAGGCCTCTGGTTTTGAATGTCAGGCTATATTTCAGTGAAGGAGGGGGGAAGGGGGCTTTTAATAGCAGAATGCTTTCTCAACGTAATCTTTATCAGGCAACTGGAGAACTAATGCCAACACATTAGAGATAATTCCTCTAGCACTATGGATCATCCAAAGACAGTTTGTTTATTGTCTTGAAGGCTCCCATCCTATTATCCTCGGTTTTTATCTTGGTTTTTTTTCAGTTGGGCCTCCTTTAACATGATGTATTGAAAGATACAAAGAATATGCATAAGTTTTTTTTTTTTTAAACCATACAACTCATGCAAATGCATGCAACTGGAACCCAATAGCCCTTTAGGGAGGTGAACTTGTAAGACAAGAGAGATGCAAGAAGTATTGTTGGAACAGGAGAAGTGAAAGTACGGAAAAAATTGTGCCCATCATTCTCTTTTCCCCATCAGTCCAGGTCTGCTAGTATTTCTTTTGGAGGGGAATGTTTGGAGTTAGGAAATTGTTCGGACCATCCTAAAAATTATGATGTAAACATTTTAAAAAAAAATCATGATTAAATCATGACATGCTTGTATTCTCACCCTTGACCCAATAATGTTGTATTGAACTGGTGGTTGCAACCTGTTTTGATAACTGACAACTAGCTGATCTGAATCAAGGAAGAGATTTTTATGAGGCAATTTCTGTACACTTGCATCACTTTTAATACATGAATCAGATTTATTTAATCATGCTCAATGAATAAACCTTGAATAAGCAGGGGAGATTTAAAATGGGCAGATTTGTTTATGGATGTTTAATCAGAACTTTGTTAATGAAGGGACTGCAGTCCATGTAGCATATATTGAATTTATTTATTTATTTATTATCTATCTGAAATGACTTATAGAACATTTCATATGACTGATAACTACTACTGAAGTAGTCACAAACCTAAATTTTGAGAAGTCTGGAGTTTGACAGTGATCCTTCCTAAAATCAGTTCTTCTGAATGCCTTCACCTCAAATTGTGCTCTTTGACCTCTTTAAACAACAGCAAGTATTATTATTGTTGTTGTTATTATTATTGATATTATTGTTATTATTGTTATCATAATTATATTCCTTTCTAAAGTGTGGAATAAAATTAAACAAGAAACCCACAATAATTACAAATTGATCAAATAAA